GCTAATGAAATCAAGGATATGCTCGTTTGGTTTAAGGTAAATTGTGCTCAGCTCCCCACGATACTGGTCGATGGTTTTCGGGGATCCGAAGGCTCCATTCAGGAGGTCGGCAAGTTGAGTTATCGTTTCGCACTCTTCGTCTTCTACGGCGCATATAGCTCGCCCGCGTAACTTAGTAAGAAGTAGGCGGGTTAGGTTTCGCTCGGACGATGGTGGGAATATTTCTTTAGCGCGTCTACATGCTCGTATAAATTGAGAGAGGGGGATATTTCGACCGTCGAATGGCGGGATAGTCTCAAGTGCTTCCCTGAAAGACACCCTTGGACTATCATAATTGGTTCCGTGTTGGAATGCGGGAGACGCCTGTTCGTCGAGAAAGCGTCCCGCGGTGCTGGGAATATATTGCGTAGGTATCGTATTGTTCCCGCGCATGGAGTTTATCTCCTGGCGTAATCGTTCGATTTCTTGGAGCATATGATCGCTTAAGTCGGGTTTTTCGGTTGCTACCATTGTGATGGAGTTCAAACGTTTTTCCATCTCCGTTTCTTTACTCACGAGGTTACTGCGGATGATTTCGAGGTCTTCTTCCGAAGCCCGTTTTTCGCGTTCGAACGTTTCTTTCTGCTGTTGAAGCATCTCGGATTGTTCGCGTAACCGTGCTTCCTTGGCATGTAATTGAGCGCGAAGTTCGTCTATTTCTACTTCAGTGAGCTTTTTCGTACCCGATTTCCCTCGTGTTTCCATCGCAAATATTAACTCGTATCCCACCGCTGTCACCAAATTTTGTTACGTCTCGTGGGGTCGCGGCTGCGAAAATTTGAATGCAGAGCTCGGCTTTTTCCACGAGACACGATCGCTATTACGGGTACGCGAATCTATGCGATTCTCCCCGGGGATACCCGCGATCTGAGGTTATTCGCGCTGGAACTGAGGTGATCGGATTATTGCGAGGGACCTACCTGTGACTCTACTGTAATAAAGATAGCTTCGTCGATTGCTCTATGCGAAACGTCGTTGGGGTTGCGTAAGTAATCTTCGTACGTAAACTGACAAAGCTCGCACAAATCACCGATTCGCGTGAGGGTAAGTCGGAAGTTGCAGACTCCGCAATTTATTCCGATAGGTGTTCCGCCTATGATTAGAGTATGCTTCCGAATCCTTGTCCAAAGTAATTTCGAGACTCTAGGTAAGGTGGAGTAGCATGAAATGCAGAGAGCTGCCTTAGTCTCAAAATGGATGTACCCGACACCAACTTGGCAATAGAATAAGGGTTCAAACGGTACGAAGAGATTAACTTCTGGAGGAGGAGTTATACCTCTAAGGGTGAGTGGGCACATTTGTGTTTGTTGCGTAATCGAATTGATAATGCGTCATTCGCTCGTAGATCTTCGGTGAACCCGGCAGTTATCGAGAAGTTAGTAGTCGTCGGCAAAACCGTCGGTAATTGTTCAGTAAAACACTGGTAAGGTGCCAGTAAGGTGTCGATAACCCGTTGGTAAAAGAACGTATGTCGGTATATCGTCGGTAATGTCGGTAAAAGAACGTATGTTGGTATATTGTCGATAACGTCGGTAAAAGAACGTATGTCGGTATATCGTCGGTAATGTTGGTAAATCGAAAGTGTTCTCAATTGATTATTGTTTAAATGACTACCTTGTTGTACGGATTTACGAAGTTATTTTTTGAGACACAAGATTTTTAAGAGATTGAACTATTTGCGTTTTTCCGTGTTAGAATTCCGAGAGTGGCACCGCATGTGGTGGTCGACCCTAGTTTTATAGCCCGACCTTTTTTTTATAGCTTCCGCAGTGACGATGGAAAAGAGGAAAAATGCGTCGGAGATTTTTCTAGAATGTTCTCTTCCACGTGGTAGAAGCGTCTCTGAATTTGCTAACACGCGCGATTCCTTAGGTTAACGTGAATTTCACTTACCTTTAGTAGCACTTTCTTGATCGTGTCGGCTCGTACTTGGAGGTAGTGCGTGCGGCGAGGGTCGTTCACTGGGATGTTTGGCGGCGGCAGGCGTCGTGGTTGGAACGTTATTGGTATGCACTTCCACTGTAGGAGTTCGTCGTTGTTATTATTTTTAATGTTGAAAATGTTCTCGTATTCAGGATCGGCCTGATATTCCACTCCGAGGAATTGAGAATATTCCTCGGTCGCTGATTCGCGATAAAGTCGGTTTAGTTTTCGTAATTGATTCTTCCTTCCTGCGCGTCGCGTCTTAGGCATATTGAATTTGATGCATCCTCTGAATGATTACTCAAATAAGGAGGGTTGATATGCGGCGGACCTCACTATCAATTCCTTATTTTGGCAAATGCTGAGAATGTTAATTCTGACTGTGATGAGCGGTGGTCCGCTCCAAACACAGTTTGAATTATTCTGAATTCAAACGCCGTATGACAAATTTAAACGCTATCGTATTTTATCACGGGAGTGGAAGTTTTGAAGAATACTGAACACTAGTTTTCACACATGAATACACTGATTTATTCGTATAGTAGTACAAAATTCGAGACTAAAACTTAGAATTAGAATTTAGATTTAGACTTAGAATTTAGAGTTAGAATATTATACTTAGAGTTAGAATTTTAGAATTAGAGTTAGGATTTAGAATTTGGACTTAGAGTTAGAATTTAGGAGTGCGACTATACTGTTCGGTGTCGCGCAGAGAACTGCCAAAATTCGGGACTGCTCTGAGGTCCTTCGTTTCGGCGGCTCGGGCCTGCGGCGGCCTGGAGAGGGGGAACTCTCCGGAGTAGGGGCTCTCACCGTGGTGGGAGATCCTTAGGCGCTACGAAGCGCCACGCTTAGTTTCTAGGCGGAGTTAAGCGTCATGGCCGGCTTGGCGCGCTTTTCAAATAGCGTTTAAGGAACTTGGAGTAAACGAAAAAATTTATACGGCCGGACGTGACACCGGGAAGATGACCAAACTTGATCATTTAGAGGAAGTAAAAGTCGTAACAAGGTTTCCGTAGGTGAACCTGCGGAAGGATCATTAACGTTCCGGAGGTCCTGCTCTGCGTCGAGAGTCCTCTCTTTTGGGAGAGACGCGCGCTCGCAGCAGTCGGCGACTGAATGGACGCGCTGAAAAGGCGCTCTCAGAGAAAAAGAAAATAACGGATTTGACGGAATTTGTTGTTGTGTTTTGATATAACGACGGACGCCGTCGCGCCTCTCTGACCGAAAGTAGTCGGCAAGCAGAGCAGCGCGCCCGGCGGTGTTCGACGACGATTCGGAGCGAGACGCTTCGCGATCACGCTCGTGTGTGTGCCATTCTCCGGCCACACACACACACAGAGCGTCGATTCGGCATTGAGCGCGAACCGGTGGTAACCTATGCCCGCGCACGCGTGTGTGCAGCACCCACGACGTTCGTCGACGCGCGCCCTCCCCGTTGTCGCGGGGCAGCGGTCAGCGTGCCGAGAACACACGTTGTGCGACCGCGAGTGCCGAGCGAGAGGACCCCCATATATTATTATAATATATATATAACACAGAGAAGGGATCGATGATATTTCGACCAATCTTTCAACTGTGTCGGTCCGACGGTTTCTTCAAAGAGCTTCCGCCCCGGCTCTCCCGTTGCGGGAGAGACGCTCCGAACGAGAAACACACAACTCTATCTTTGTGCCGTAGCCTTCCCTGGCGGGAGGCGGCGGTCCGCGCGCGTCCTCGGACGCGCGCGGACAGGCTGATCGAAGAGCCACCACGATTATTCTCTCTCTCTCTCGTCCAAGAGAAGAGACCACGATGGTTGAACGAGAAGCGCGTTTCTTCGCGAACGCAAAAATTTCGAACGATTACCCTGAACGGTGGATCACTTGGCTCGTGGGTCGATGAAGAACGCAGCTAATTGCGCGTCAACTTGTGAACTGCAGGACACATGAACATCGACATTTCGAACGCACATTGCGGTCCACGGATACAATTCCCGGACCACGCCTGGCTGAGGGTCGTTTTAGTACCCCTAAACTGCTTGCGCCCGAAAAGCGCGCACGGCCACGACGCGGGCGACCAGAGAATGGCGCGCGCGTCGCCTGTGCCCTGTGCAACGCTTACAATGGGCGTACGAGCGATCGTTGGACGTTCGCCCGAGGTGTCTGTGCCGCGCCGACCGGCCGCGGTGCAAATCCTGGCGTCGTCTGAAATGACAAACCGAAATAATAATATTAATAATGAGGAGGAGAAGCGCACAAGCGTGTAAAACGTTGGCGAACGCGCGCCCAGAGAATGCTGCGCGAAATAAGAGGGGGAGCGTGTTTGTGTATTCAAGTCGTGTGTGTACGCGAGAGCCGAGGAGAAATGGGATGAGAGTAAGAGCGCGCGCGAAGGGAGCAACAAACGGCCAAAAAAAGGGTCAGGACGGTGAATGGCACCGTTTTCCCTAGAGCGGCGCGTGCGTCGTTGTCTCCCGAAAGTAGGTAGCGCTTGTCTCACCGTCTCTCCTCTCCGTACATCACACAGACTGACCGGACTGCTCTCGCACTCTGTGCCGCGTCTCTCGGTGCGATAGCGCTCGCGCGTCTTATGCCGAGGCGCCCTTGCCCGCACACATAACGGTATTACGGAGAAATATACGGCGCGTCGTCGTCCGGCGGAGAGAGCATTCGTAATCCTTTACCTCTTTACGGAGAAGGGTTTTGAATCGCGAGCCGACCGCGTGTCCGAGTCCACGAAATTTTCGTAAAGCGAAAAAAGGGGACCGGCGCGCCGCGTCGTGTACTCGTCGAATCGATTCCGCCCGAATTTCGTATATAAAAGAGAAGGGAGAGCCGAGAATCTCGAACCCCGCGATATATCGTCTCCATTACCACCAACGAGTGTGTGTGCGGTTAGCGCCCCGGCGATTTGCCTTCTCGCGTATTTCGTGTGCTGCCGCTGCTGCTCTCTCGTTCGACGCTCTCTCTCTCTCCCTCTTATAATATATATTATAGAGGAGAGACGACGATGAGCGACGCGGAGGAGGCAAACGGCTACGAAAACTCACTATGCGA